AGAGAGAGAGAGAGAGAGAGAGAGAGAGAGAGAGAGAGAGAGAGAGCTACAGTTTTATACAATGATATTTATTTCAAAGTTTTGTTCATTGTGTCTTCACTTTGGTTTGATGTTTTCTACAATTCTGCATGTTACTAAATGGCATGCGTTAGCTGTTTGCTGTCGTTTGTACTTGCAGTTTTTTGCCTCAAAGCCAAAATAAATATGACAAATGTGACATGTGAGGGTTTCTTTCTGTGACACTTTTGAACATGTATAAATAAATCTTCGTAATCACAGCTACGGGATGTTTGAAAAGAGCTGGAAAAAAAAAAACACTTCTTTGGTTATCTAACTGCAGTGACACAGGCTTGTGCCTGAGCCAGCAAAAGCTGAGCGAATGTCAACAACCACTGGCAGTTTTCTCCGTTAATGCTTTTAAAACACAACAACGTGTCATAACTTAGAGTCGTTTCTCTGTTTGAACTGAAGGCAGCGTGAAAGACGTTGCAGCGAGTAGATTAAATATCAAACTTTCCCATCATGACACAATGACACGCTGAAATAATTCATACATAGTGAAGCAATAAATTATTCTAGTTTCACAAAACGTTATCAGACCATTTACAGTACTATTTTTCTCTGTTAGAGGATAAAGCTCTCAGAACTACTGTGTTAATGTGAAGAGAATAGTAATTATCTTTGGGAAATGTTAAAAATTGTAAATGTATATTTTAATGACTTATAAATCAGTTGTTCTCAGTTGACAGGCTTGATTTGATAAGATTATTTTCTACTTAATAGAGGTTTTGGAGATAAATTAGTTATGATCCAATTTCAATAACCAGCCTAATTAATAGATTTATTAGTCCTGTCTGTGGAATATATGATATCTGGAAGCTCTGATTCACACTGGAGCATATCATTAACCCTTACACAGCTTGCAGCAAAGTATGACTCATCCATGAACACCAGAAAAGACAAAACCTATGAGCAGGAAATTCATGTTCACACACTCACAAAAAAAAGAAAATAATACTGAGAAAAATAAACCCGCAAAAATAAAAAAGGCTGAAAATTGATTGTACATTTGTGTGTTAAACCTACTTATAAACCATGAAAGCTCAACACTAAAAGACAATGAACTTTTTAAATTGTCTTTGTCTGAATTTGAGTTACACAAACACTCAAACTAAAATTGGTACATGATAAAAAAGGACAGAGTTCTAGTCATTTAATCTTTCTACATGACAATCCTGATTTCATGCAATATTACAAAATCTGTCAAATCACAGCCATGCCACATCAAGCATTTGCTACATTTTTCTAGATTTGACTGAATTATATCCCTTTATGTGTTTTAGAGTCAGCACTAAAAAAATATTTAGTTGATGACATTTAATTTTCTGAAAGTTTCATTCAAATCCACAGAAGGATTTATGAGAATTTTGCTGAAAAGATTGATAGTCTTGATCCTGTAGCAGTTTCTGGCCCATACAATGCACTCTAACATTTGATCCAGACACCACAAAGATGGATGGCTCTTTAGTGGCCCAGATGAGGTTTGCCAGAGGTGGCTCATGCATGGGCCAGCACCACATAAACCAAACCACAATCGGGCCAGTTGTGGCATGCCATCCTKAAAACACTTTGCCATGCCAGCAGGCAGACTTGACACCAGATCCAGCCCACACCTCTCTGCTAAATGGATAAAGTTATTGGAAAAGTTTTAAACAAAGAAGTTGTACAATGTTTAGAACTAATCGTATACATTGACACTCAGCT